TGGTGAGTATGGCGTGGGCATATCTGCATGCAAAAAGCAGGTCGATTCACGCAAAAAAACTTCGGGCTTTGTCAAGTTTTCACGCTGTGCTCGTGACAAGGCGACCTCTACGTCGGCAAAGGACGAGGAGGAAGCTCTCCCAGGACCGGGTACGTATCAATTACCCCCTGGATTGTGCGGTGGAGGGTCATCATATCCTTTTCGGGCTGCCCCTAAAGCATCTCTCTCTGGTCGTGAAAAATTTGGCAGCCCCTTCTGAGTTAGCAAAAACCGAATTACCCGAAAGAGAATGGAATTTGACGTTGGAAGGATTCAAGCGCTCGTCGCAGATGTGGCCGTAGTCCCTGATGCTGGTACCGGTCGGAAACCCCACCGGAATTTGCGTCAATAACCAAGGGGAGGCCCCGGGAGATTGTGACAGTGCAATTCCTTCTCGAGATGTGACTTCGGGAATGCCGCCGTAGCAGAGCAGGTGTAACACGAGCCGCAAGTTGAACATCGGCTAGGGTGCATCTCGGGTAATTGATTTTCCGACGGTAGTCGGGCCCTTTCGACGGACTTTAATTTCGTGGGAAATTCGGTTATCTCGGTTAGTGCTGGGGACGTCGTGCGTGAAATTATGAAGTGCTGGCAGCATCCTATTTCTTTCATTGGCCGGCCCATCGCGAGCATTTATTTCATTGGCCAGCCCGAGGGCTAGCTTCAGCGCGGCGACCAGTATAGCGGCCGATGATGGAATTTCCACCTTAGAGGGCCCCGCGCTCCTCGAATATGCAATGACGTGCAACGATCCCAGAGGCTTTGAGGTCCGCAAACAGACTGCAAGTCAGGTGAAACTCCCCGGTTGGGGGAACGTTGGGGGAACCTCTCTGTCACTTGCACGAGAATCTAATAACTCTTGGACTCGGACTGTTAGTTCATCCAAAGACTCTAAATTCATGTACAGAGCAAATTCTGCCACAGCGCTGCTGCACTACTGTCAAGACAAGTTCTGCCATATAGACGTAGCACTCCAAGTTGTTGTGGAGAAGGATCAACCTTCCCCATCTAATCCGCACGTGCTGCTTCCTGAGGACCTCATATATGACGCCGAGAGAATTGCTGAGTTAAGCTCCTCAGATGGACTTGAACACAAACAGGAATTTCTCAAGGCCATTATCAAGGAGTTCAGTGACTTATGCAAGAACGATTGTTTTAGCTTGGAAGTAATACCAGAGGAGCGATCTCCCCTGAGCACTCGTATAGTACTCAAGGTCAAGAGAAAAGGCGATGGTTCCTTTGACAAATTCAAGGCTAGGTGCGTGGTGCGCGGCTTCCTCGCCAAGATAGGACTTGATTTTTACGCCACGTACAGTCCCT